TTTAATTACGGCTCCTTACGGTTTTGTGGGATGTCACGAACTTATGGTTTCAATGCTGATTTATCATGCAGAATATCTCATTAAATCGTGTTACGAACGTTGAATTGGTTTCACTTTCCACCCAGTAATCCTATTACAAGCAAACTAGACAATTCGCTAATATACGAAGCCTACTCAAAACCCTAAATGATACCTGGAAAAAAAACAATAATACAAACAAAATGAAAAGGGTTCTAATAGCTTCGATAAAAAAGGAAGATAGCCAATTGTATATCACAATACTGTTTCTAGCACCAACTCCGCCTGTAGCTCTTCTAGAGTTACTGCCGGTCCCAAGCTCGGGTAAAGAAGGAGGGTTGGGCATGGAGTTAGCGTCCCCAATCGGTAGAAAACTAACTCGCTAAAAAAACGCTTACCAGAAAAAATAATTCAAACCATTTTAACTCTGCCCTGGGAGTCAGAAGGTCTTCATTTAGAAGAATTATGACGCTTCATGGTGAAATCCGAGTTCCTTCGGAAGCCTTGAGGCCGATGCCCCTTTTAACAACCAGAGCAAACGTTTTTGTGGGTACATGGAACGTTCGAACAATGTGGGAGACCGGGAAGACCAGTCAAATAGCAACGGAAATGAGGAGATACAATTTGGCAATACTGAGAATCAGCGAAACCCACTGGACCCAAGCTGGAGAGAAAAGGCTGGCTACGGGAGAGATGCTGCTATACTCCGGTCACGAAGAGGACAATACTCTACACACTCAGGGAGTCGCTCTTATGCTGTCCAAAGTAGCACGAAATGCACTTGTAGGATGGGAATCTCATGGATCCAGAACCCTCAAAGCATCATTCAAAACAAAGAAGGAGGGGATCACAATGAATATTATCCAATGTTATGCACCCACAGATGATAGCAACGACGACATTAAAGATCAGTTCTACGAGCGGCTGCAGTCAGTCATTGAGAAGTGCCCAAGGAAGGAACTCACCATTCTGATGGGAGATCTAAATGCCAAAGTCGGAATAGACAGCACAGGGAATGAAGATATCATGGGACAACTTGGGTTGACTGGTAGAGAGAAACGAAAATGGAGAAAGATTTGTAAATCTATGTGTATTCAACAAATTGGTCATAGGGGTCACAATATTTCCACACAAGCGTATACACAAGGCTACATGGATCTCACCGGACCACACTACAGAGAACCAGATAGATCATATTTGCATCAACAAAAAATTCCGAAGGACAATGGGAGATGTGAGAGCCAAGAGAGATGACATAGCTTCAGATCACCACCTAGTTTTAGCCAATTTAAAACTGTAGCTAAAAAAGAACTGGACAAACAGCAATACAAAGATTCAATACAGCATTCCTTTGAGATACTGACATACTCAATGAATTCAAGATAACTCTCAACAACAGGTTCCAAGCCTTACAAGATCTACTGAAAGAAGAAACTACTATGGAGGATAACTGGAAAAGTATCAGAGAAGCATTAACTTCAACGCGTCAAGAGGTTTCGGGCCTAATTTCGCCTAATTTCGAGATCAACAAGCTGGATTCCGTAAGGATCGATCATGCACAGACCAAATTGCAACACTACGGATCATCGTCGAACAATCAGTTGAGTGGAACTCATCACTGTACATCAACTTCATTGATTATGAAAAAGCATTTGACAGTGTGGATAGGAGGACGTTATGGAAACTTCTACGACACTACGGAGTTTCTGAGAAGATTGTCGATATTATCCGGATCTCATACGACGGACTACAATGCAAAGTCGTGCATGGAGGACAGCTGACAGATGCATTCCAAGTAAGGATCGGAGTCAGACAAGGCTGTTTACTCTCTCCCTTCCTCTTTCTTCTGGTGGTCAACTGGATTATGAAGACCTCGACATCTGAAGGAAAACACGGAATTCAATGGACAGCTCAGAATCAATTAGACGATTTGGACTTCGCAGATGACCTAGCCCTCCTATCACGTACACACGAACAGATGCAGATGAAGACAGCCAGTGTAGCAGCAGTCTCTGCATCAGTAGGCCTCAGCATACACAAAGGGAAAACCAAAGTCCTCAAATTCAAAGCGGAAAACAACAATCCAATCACTCTTGATGGCGAAACTCTGGAAAATGTAGAGTCCTTCACATACCTAGGAAGCATCATCGATGAACAAGGAGGTTCAGATGCAGACGTAAAGGCAAGGATTGGCAAAGCAAGGACAGCATTCCTACAGCTAAAGAACATATGGAACTCAAAACAACTTTCAACCAATATCAAAGTGAGAGTCTTCAATACGAACGTCAAGGCAGTTCTACTGTATGGAGCTGAAACTTGGAGAACTACAACAACCATCATCAAGAAGGTAAAAGTGTTTATAAATATCTGTCCACGCAAGATACTCAACATCCATTGGCTGGATACCATCAGCAACAGCCTTTTGTGGGAGAAGACAAATCAGCTTCCAGCTGAAGAAGAAATTAGGAAAAGACGATGGAAATGGATAGGACATACATTACGCAGATCATCAAACTGCACCACGAGGCAAGCGCTAACTTGGAATCCTGAAGGGAAACGGAAAAGAGGAAGGCCAAAGAACACATTACGTCGGATAATAGAAGCAGATATGAAAAGGATTAATAGGAACTGGAAGGATCTGGAAAGGATCGCCCAGGACAAGGTTGGATGGAGAATGCTAGTGAGCGGCCTATGCTCCTTCACGAGGAGTAACAGGCGTAAGTAAGTAAGTTTCTAGCGCCTTATTTTATTTTATAACTGCACAATCCCATACTCAGCTCTTTCTGAATCGCCTCCATTCGTCAGCTGTATGTCCACTCATACCTTGTTAACACTTATTTTCTTTAACCTATGAAAATGCTCTTTCTTAACAAGTACCTAAATAAAAGAAAATTAGACTGAGTAATCATACCTTAAACATTTCTTCACGAATATTGGCTACTTTGCTTCTCGTCCTTTCTTTTACTTGCTCTCTCTTTCAGCCCCCTTGTGATGTGGAACGGGTGATTTCATCCTGCACCATCCTAAAAGCCTTGGATATTCCAAAGGGACATAAGGTTGCGACTTTTAGAAGCTCCCACCTTCAATGGACCTATCCTTTACCATCAGTTGCACATTCTCAACGCAACTTTCATGAAGCGCGCCAACTATGATACTGATTAAAACCATCTACATTCATACCTTATAAATTATCAACCCAGCTAAGTAATTTACTACAGTGGATAATGTATCATTTGTAACAATTTGATCTTGCCTGTAAACTGGCATGCCTCATGTAACAAACTGTTACTTGAGAATAAATAATAATTATTATTATTAAATTAATGGTATTCAAAATAAAGGTTTTAATCAGCCAAATGTTTTCAGTCCTCCCGTAACACTTACTATAATTTCTTCATTAAGATGCTCGGTACACACAATGAATTGTACTGCTTTTACTTAGAAAAGTATGAAAAACCCTTCAGGATAATAAATATATTGTTTAATTCAGTGGGAGGAGAATTTTCAGGGAATATCATCGAGCTCTTTATGCCCGTCAATGATAACGAGGGACATGATATATACCAGTTTTATGTAAAACTGAATCCTATCGTGGAGAAGTCCCCATGCAAACACTAGATTATCGTAATGGGAGATTTAAGTGTCAAAATCGATGTGGACAACATAGGCTGTGAACATTTTAGAGCGTAAATGAACCAAAAGATAGGAGTGAGATTATTGGTAAACTAACAAAACCTTGAGCTTTCAACATCACGGCTATATATAACATCATTTTCCTCACAAACGTATATATAAATCTATACGAGTTTCATTAAATCACCCTACGAGAAGCTTTCACCATGAGGCATTGTTAGTTTCCTGAATAAAAAGCGTTCAACACCAAGAACAGAGTTCAGGTAGTATAAATGATTTTTCCCAGTTGGTATTCTTCAGCTAGCTTCTTTTGACAAGGTGGAGTTGTCAACGCGACATCCAATGCCCCTCTTTTACCTTGGCTTGTAACTTGTATCAAAAGCAGAGGGGCCCAAGAGGACTTGGTTGAAATCTACTAACCTGTTAGATGTAATGAATAGCTAAATTGTAATAAGTTCCGACAACTCTAGACCAGCTAGCTTTTTGTTTTTAGAAAGCAAGATCCACTGATGTCAGTGTTATGTCCGAAGGATTTTAAGTAATTTGTTCTAACTGGACACTTTTACGTGTCTGTAGCAATGTCTTGTTTGTAGGATTTAAAAAATCCTTGGTCGGGAGTTGTGAATGGATTTCTTTGTTTTGGTATACTATCAGAAGGCCTTTGAAATATGAAGGAGTGAATTCGTGTCTTATGAATAGGCCTTTTGAAACTTTTCTCATTATATCTCAATCCCAATAGGTAATATGAAAATTGATAACAACGTGGAGGGGTAATTTCAGTCTTGGTTGGGAAAGTCTTCGACGGCCACAAAAAGTAAATTTTGGTCTCCCACTACGCCTATTTTCGGAAATACATCAGTGCCTATCATAGTAATTGTATAGCCGCTGATGTGCAACAAGAGGTGTTGATCGGGAGTGGTTTTTTAATTGAATCGTCCGAAATCACAGTTATGACGTTAGTTGCTGCTAGCCCTCTCAGTCACCAATGAGAATTACTTGGAAAACCAACTTTTCCACAGTCTATCTCATGATTCAACACATTCCTAGCTTTTTAGGAGAATGTAATTAGTTCTGTGATTGGGATGTAACGAGTATCGCTGCTCTTGACACATGGCGATTTCAATGATAGTTTTCAGAGTTTACAATTCTTTACACATCATTATAATATTTTTATGCTAGAAGAGCTACTTGAGTTGATATAAACCATTAGTGAACACAAAATCAAAGTATCAAATATTATTTGTTAGAGTACTCCAATGACGCTTGTTTAAGTGGGTCATTCAAGGATGAAGCTTGTGAGGTGAGTGGAGTGTGTTGTCGTTGTTTTGCATCTAGTTGTCTTGATGCTCAGACGAACGTTAGCTGGTTACGCCAGATAGTTTTAAATAACTGGAAGTGAAGTACATATGCCTAAATGACTAAAATCAGCGGTTTCACAATTAGATGGCTATAGAACTACTAATGAGAAACTTCTTAAATGATTGGATCCCTCTTTTATAAATAGAGACAGGTTTTTCACAATTAGGCCTTCATCTGAATTCACAGTGGGATTTTCCGGCCTTGACTGAAACGTCAACACTATTAGATATGCCATTGACGTAATATTCTTATTGTTGCTGGTTTGACCTCTCAGATACTCCAAGCTATCCACAAATCCTTAAATTCGAGTAAGAATTTCGGTTGCTTTTCTCTACTGTAGTCGGACGCATTTTTACTCGTTTTTTCCTTAATCTCATCACAGAATGCGCTCAAAGGTTGTCTATGAATTATAGTCTCACCAAACCTTCAAACTGCTTCCTGTGAATCGCTTTAAAACCGGACTGCATTTAATCGGTTGTTCGATAATAACGTGAGGTCTTCGTGACAGTATAAAATCCATTTCAATGCATACTGATGGTTTAGGGTTAATAAAGCATAAAAACCTTACTAGATATGGCTGTATTTCCTCTCAAGTATCCAGCCTTAAAACCAAGTTGTACCGGTCGTTTTCCTACCATAAAATTAATCCCTCTACAAACTCCAATCGTCATGCCAGAGACCTAGTCCGATAACATGGCTTTTCTGGTGAGTCAGTTTCATTCCTCTGACTACTATCCGAATCTCAGAGCATAGGACTTAGACTGGAAGATATTCGTATCACAGCCGAGTAATTAAGTTTGCTTATGTTATAGTATCAAGTTCATAAACTCTTTCGACATCGCGAGGAGGTTAATAAAATTGGCAGTTTGCAGTTGACTGTGGACGAATCAACTTACGCACCCCATGTCAAATCGGTTAACAGGCTTTCTTGGCTATGACCCTAGAATCTCGTACCATTGATGTATGCTGTCTCTGAAACACATACAGAATCCCAGTGTGACCATTCACTTGACCTCACCTGGGCAAAACAGCGAGCCAACGAGATATACCCTCCGTGTATCTGGTGACCCGACGGTCAGCTCTCGTGGACTAGCAGGTGTAGACATAGCACTAAGCATGAGGGCGGAACAAGCACTGTTAAGGTGGATCTCCGTTAACAGTCGTTCGTGTGCTGTTCGGCTAGATAGCTCCGTAAAAACTCGGAAGGATAGGGACACACTTTGCATTTTTGTCGTTTCTGCAGCTCAGATGAAGTGAAAGATGAATTTTACAAAGCTATCTGAACTTCTTCAGAAAGCTAAGCGTTCAGACATAGTACTCGTAGCAGGTGACTTTAATGCCCAGATAGGTAGTTTGAACCAAACAAAGGCATTTGGGTGGGTATTTTAGTATTCCGGCACAACGAACAGATAATGGTGATCGTCTGCTGCGACTGTGCTCAGACAATCGTTTATTTTTAGCAAAAAAATTTAAGCATAAGGAGAGACATCGTCTAACATGGCGACCCTCTACACCAAACCAACGATGGACTCAAATAGGCCATATTGCCATCGTTCATCGTTAGAAAGGTCGATAGAAGATTGTCGCTCATTCAGTCTCAAGTGATGTCCATCAAGGCTGTCCACTTTCTCCATTTTTGTTTAAATTCATCATAGACCTACTGAATTCTCGGGTATTGATCTTCCAGGAGGTCCACTTATCGACTTAGAATACGCAGATGACATAGTCTTGTTTAGTGAAGATGCTGATAAAATGCAGTCTTCTGGTAGCACTAAGCAACAATGCCAGAATGTTTGAAATGCGCTTCTCTCCCTCTAAATGCAAGTTTTTGCTTCAGGACTGATCTGCGTCAACACCTGAACTAGGGATAGGGAGTGAAGTAGTCGAACGCGTTGACAACTTCACTTATACTGGAAGTCTGATCTACCTTAATGAGTTGGTGTCTGACTAAATCTCAGCACGGATTTAAAAAGCTCGTTTGGCTTTTGCCAACTTACGTCACCTATGGCGAAGGCGAGATATCCATCTATCAATTAAGAGACGAGTATACTGCGCGGCAGTCCGTTCTGTTTTAATTTAAGAGTAGAAGATACTTGTAAGCTACTAGTATTTGACCACAAATGTCTTAGAAATATTGCTGGCATCACCGAGTAAGTAATAGCGAGGTTAGATGCAGGGCATTAGGGAATGATTGTAAATCAGTTGATGAGGTTGTGAATCCTCACCGACTGAGATGGTTGGGCCACGTGTTACGTATGCCCGAACACCGATTACCACGACGCGCAATGCTGACTAGTGTTGGGAATGGTTGGAAGAAAGTTGTGGGCGTCCAAACCAAAACGTGGCATCAGTGCTTGAAGTCACTAACTTCTAGTCTGAGCCATGTTGATAGATGCAGACTGATTGGTTGGGGTCAGCGTGACCATCGTAACCAATGGTTGGAGACTGTTGGTGACATGGCTCAGAATCGATCACAATGGTGTGGGTGTATACACTCTTTGTCTTCCCTTAAACTATGAGACTAAAACCACATCATATCTTTCTTTCTATGAACTAATTCTTTCTTCCTGTATAATATCCTTATATGCAATCTTTCTTCTGTATATTACCACCATTGAATTAACTGCTTTTATGAATTCGGTGTTCATCTTGTTGTGCTGATGCGGTACGGCAACTTGGGCCGATGCATATATGTGCCTGGTCCTACGTTGCAGCTGACTGACTGACTCTGCAGGCTTAAAAATTGTCGACCCTAAGAATGTCACTTTTCACACTAACCAACGGATTTCAGTTTCCGATGTTAAGGATTTTCGAAGTACAAGTCTAGCATCAAAAACATTATATGAATAGGTTGTGCTAATTCGGCCGCAAGCAGTTTTCTCTTACGCTCTACAGTCACGCTTTCGGGTCGCTAAGACCACCATTAGTTTAGCTCCCTTTGTAGGTCCCTCAAGAAGAAATATCCTTCCACGGTATGGGATGCCGGAAAGTGACTGTCACGCTCGTGCCTGTATCAGCATCCCGGATCATCATTTCGACAACTGAATCCGTCCCTCACAGTTTAATAATACTTCCACTCCCACGACTAACCCTTCTCATTTATCTTAATCATCACTCTCCACCAATGCTAGTGATCTGTGTTCACAAAGTGTTATTCTTAGTCTCCTGAAACCCACGCTCTTAAATACGTATTGGAGCTTTTAATGTCTAAACCTTGTGTCAGCTAAGACTCTAGAATCCCACTCCGTCTATGTATGCTGCATCTCCGAAACGTTCATACATCCAATAACGGTCATTCATTTGGCTTCACCTTGCCAAAGCCGGAACAATTTACCCTTCGAGTATCTGGAGACAGGCGATTATAATGCTTAAGTAAACCAAACGAAACTGAATGGTACTTAGGCGGATTTTACGGTGTTGCAGCTCAGCTAACATGATAGTGAACGTCTGTTGCAACAATGCTCAAATAACCGTCTGTTTCTGGCAAACATCAACTTTAAGCATGAAGAGAAACGTCTGAAGTGGCGACCTCCACGGTCGACTCATTAGTGAACTCAATAGGTCATATTGCCATTTGCCATCGTTAATGGGGCTCGATTGGTGACTGTCACTCATTCTGAAGCACATGTTTAGACTCAGATTATGCTCTAGTTCGAGCACATATTTTTCTGCGTCTAACTGGACATAGAAAAGCCACAGCAACTAGTAAAGGTGCGAATCAACCGTGAAAATGATATCCACCCCGAGGGAGCTTGATATGATATCCGAAAGGATGTGGAAACAGCGATATCTACTGGTAACTTAAACTAAAAGAAGAAAAATTAGTGAATTTCAGCGGCGACTACAGAACTGTTAGGTTTTCGGGAACTCATCCCGTCTGACACAGGACACCATGAGGAACCAAGGCAACTTAGACGCAGATTAAGAATAGCCTTACGTAGTGATGGTAAGCAGTGGTGGGTAGCAGGAGCAAAAGAGATGGAAAAAGAAGCAGCGATAGGTAACAGTAGACAACTGTTCAAACTTATCAAGGAAACGAGTATTAAAGCCCCATCTGTTAATGAAAGTCGAAAAAAGACGGGATTATTATTCACTTTTAATCCAGGAGATTAAACCGATGGGTAAAACGCTTTAGGGAACAGTTCAACTGGCCTTCAGCCAGTAAGCCCAATTCTTGGTGAGGTTTTGTTATAACTTGTGGCCTGTGTGCCCTGTTAATGTATAACGTAATGATACCGCTAATTAGAGAACAGTGAATTATCGATCAGACCAGTGACGCATAAAACAAGTATGAGCAGTCTAGAGTCCTTATCGGTCCTGCTTCCCTTCTAGCCTAGCCAGTAAAGTCCAGAACACCAATCTCAGCCTCTGCGATATGAATCATTTATTTCAAACATACTGGTTTTATATTATCAACCAGACAGACCACATCGTACCATAAAATAGGAAACAATATTTGTGCAAGATATAGCCAAATGTGACTGTGAATAAGAGAGATAGTAATTGATGGACAGGGCATAACTGAAGAATGGTAAATTGTATAATAATAGTTCATAGATCTAAATAAAGCTCATAATAAGAGGGACAAGAATATGAATAGTCTAGTTATTTAACAATTATACGATGAAAGTATACGCATAGTATAGGTCCATAAATGGATCATAAAAGTTACCATTCATTATTCGTATAGGGATATAACAGGTTTCAGTCAGTCAGTATAACAGGTTTAATAGGTTATAATTAATGTAAAGCGTGAGAAAACAACAGAGGTCGGCGAACTAACCCATGAGAATGTCAAAAACAGTGGGCCAGTTTTAGTTGTTAGATTAACTGAAATGCTATTTAGAATCTGGGAACTAAACGTAATCCCATCTGACTGATCCCGATTGCTGATTGTTCCAATTTATAAGAGTGGATAAATTTTTTCTTGTGACAGTCACAAAGAAATCAGTTTAGCTAATATCGTATCTAAAATATTAGCTTCAGTAATACTTTGACATCTAACTAGATCTCGTGAAGAGCGAACCCGAGAAAAACAAACGGGTTTCAGACCTTCAACAGATTCTGGAATATGGGTATACTTTTCGGCGTCCTACTGCAGTTCTTATTCCTCGACTTTAAAGCAGCGTTTGACTCTGTTAATCGAGGGGTCATTTGTCAGTGTATGCCATTGAAGGGTATACCAAAGAAGTACATTAAGTGGTGTTCGTCAAGGTTGTCCACACTCCCCATTTTTATTTAATTTCATCATAGATATGCTTATAGAGATAACACTCATCGTCTTACTTTCCAGGGGTTGATCTACCAGGAGATTCACTTTTTGACTTGCAATACACAGATCACAGTTCTTTATGATGAAGACGTTGACAAAATGCAGAGTCGTCTGACCACCTTGAGCAACAATGCAAGTATGTTTGGGATGTGGTTCTCGCCTTCCAAATGCAAGGTGTTGATTCATGGTTAGCTTATGTCATTGCCTGAATCAACGATAGGGGGTGGAGTAGTTGAGCGCATCAACTGCATCACTTATCTTGGGAGTCTCGTCGGCTCCATAAGAAAACCACCTGCTAACCCTCAAATGCCTTGGTACGACCTAGGGTGGCGAGAGTCATCTCTCACTCTCGAAATGCTCTCAAATGGCAACGCTTATACAGCTACTGCCATGGATGTCCTTCTCATGGCGGAGGGGGTTGTTTACGAAGTTGAGAGGACGAAGAGCGAAAGTCCGGAGCTTTAACCGAGTTGGTGGACATAAAGGATACAAATGGCGTATGAACCGATTTTTGGTCACCGGCTATCATGGGATTGCATCCCTTGACGTTGCTCCATTGCTTTGTGGATCAGATCTTTAGGTCGAAGGCTCCGGGCATGGCCCCCGAAGAAAACCATCTGCTTAGGTCTGGGCACCAGTGAAGTATCACACTTCACACACAAATCAAGTGGCGTATATGTATTCGATGCCCCTTTCAACCAATATTTATGTGTTCAAACAACAACAAACATCGACCCTGATGACCTTTGTCTGATAAAATCTGTTCATAGATTCAAAAGCTTGATTACTTTTTTCCAACCTGCCTCACTTGTGGCGTAAGCGAGATATCCGTCTGTCAAAAAAGGACAAGTTCACTGTGTAGCAGTTCGCTTTGTTCTGCTTTATGATTATGAAACAATCATTAAGAATAATGTATGTTCGTAGAAAACCAGTATTCGATCATGGATGTCTATGAAGCGCTGCTCAAGCTAAGACTTGGCATCAGTTCATGAAGTCACTAACAGTTGGACATAGCCATATTAGTAGGTACAGGCTATCTGGTTGGAATCCTAATGATCATCGTAACCAATGGTTAGAGACGTTGAATAACATGCTGTAAAATCGTTTGCAATGGCGTAGGTGCATCCGTTCTTTGTCTTCCCCAAATCCTAAGATTCTAAATTCTTCATAAATTTCTTTTGTCTCTATTTCGTCCATTTATATTTTCTTTTCGATTTGTATCTCCGATCCCTAATCTTTTCTATTACCATTGATACTGTTACTACCCCTACTATTATATGACTTGGTCTGGCAACTTCATCTGTCTTTGCTAATGGGGTATGACAACTTTAACCGATTTACATACGTACAGGTTCTACATTGACTGACTCTGCAAGGTTAATTTTGCGCAAATAAACAACAGATGAGCAACACATAACATAGATATTCTTTGTTGGATTTATTTGATAACAAAGTTAAAACTCATGCCGAAATTATATTCAGCTACATTTTGGATTGCTTTTTAGTACAAAGGCTAATAACTGCTTTGACTTGACTCGGTTCAGATCTTTTCTGTAATATTGTTCCCACAACTTGACAAGTCTAGCGATTTACAACATCATAGCTTAACCATCTAATGTAGACTGTTCGTCTCATATTTCCCTCTACACCACCCTGTTTATCAAAGTGTCAACCTGTACAAATTTTGTTAAGTACATTTGACTACCACCTGAAAACAAATTAAGTTTCGTGGAGTGTGACTATTTTCGATAAAACCAATTAAATTGAAACAATGGTAGGATAGCCTTTAGGTACTATTAACAATAGCTGGTTCCTATAATCAAAGATGGATAGTGGCTAGTGGTAGATTCCACTCCTAGCCACCATTCCTCTTTGCTCATAATGCTTGTGACTTGAAGCAATATCGAAGCAATCCGCACAGGATGCATATATACCACTAGGAAACTAGTCAGTTGCAATTCAGAACATCAATGGCAGGATCCAATCAAACTAAAATGAGTTAATCCTTGTCGAGTAGAGACAGGTATCTACCTCAGTACAATGGAAGATGATCGCGCAATTTCGTGGATTGGTTGATGTTAGACACTAACATCATTGAATGCCGGCTCAGTGGTCCAGTAGGTTAAGCGTTCGCGTGCGAGACTGAAGGCCCTGTGTTCGAATCTCGCGATCGGGGTCGTGGATGCACACTGATGAGGATTCGGGCTTCCAAGTGTCCAACGGTGGTCTAATATCAATCGGTAGCTAATTCCTAGCAATAGACTTGTGTAATTTTGGATGAATTAGTTCTCATTTAGTTTTCTAAGTGCTTTTGCTGCTAAATGTCTCAGTATTTGTGACTGTGAACTCTAATAACACCGGTAGTTTTCTATGGGGTCGTGCTCTATGAGTAGGAGTAGTTGCAGAGCTTTCATTCTCGTTTTGGACAACACTGATATTAATGCATTTAAGCAACTTTGGACATAAATTCAATTGAACAAACTTCAGAATTCTAAACCGGGAAACTCTAGGAATTCCAGAGAATTCCTAGAAGCATGACCTTCATGTCAATCAGCGAGCAATAGGCACATCAACGTAGATCTAATAAATAAACCAACATAGAAGTTGACCAATAGCAAAGCCTGACGTCGACGGATAAAGACAACTTAAATACAAGGATAAATGAAGATAACAAAATACACATGAACTAAGGATTGTGTGCATTATGGTCATGGTTTTCTTGCAGCTGTATAATTCCTAGGTTCACAAGACCGTTATACCTAGTTGCATATACTATTCAATTATTCATGACCTGACATCTGACTAGTGTATTCGAATATAAAACAAGCAACGTATTGTTGTGAATTTGTTGATTAAAATGTCATTTGATTTGAAAAAGCAGACATTTACTAAATTTCCCCAGTACTATCGTTTTTAATATTTGAAAGCGGCTCGTTATATGATACACTGAAAATGTTGGCTGTTTTATTTGTCACTGAATGTACTGTCAACCATGTTTATTGTTGACAAAGGTTTCAATAATGAGGATGTTCACATAAAAGTGTACAAGTTTCTTCTTGTTTCGATGTTCATTAAATATATCCAGTCTCACTTGACGTCTTCAAGTTTGTACATAAATATCTTATTTGACTTGTAATGTCCCCCAATAATTCTAAGGAAACAAAGTTTGGTGCCATAGTATGAAGATCTCTTGTATTCTATCTCCGAATCACAACCGAAATAATCAAGGAATTCATCTTAGCTAATTTTCATGCTTACACTGCTGATCTGGAGTTCAACTAGGTTGTAAATTAGTTAATCTGTTGTACTCTGTTTGCTGTGGTCTCGGCATATCCACTTGGTAAGTTAATGTTCCCATGACAAACAAGACAATATAGAACCTCCTGATCATGCATTTGTCAAAGATGTCACTTTCTATGTGTAAATTATTCTCCACCTCATTGTTAATTAAACGCTAATCCTCATGATATATATGTATATGAGCTATACCTTTGTAGCAACTGCCATTATGATAAAAATAGGGTGATAATTTCATTGATAGCGCTTTAAACGTGTATTCACTAAGCGAATTGAAGCAAGTGACTTTTGGTATGCTTGTTATTATACGGTTTCCATCTCATTCCTCAAAACCGTCATCTTGTTTCATATGGCACATTCCATGATGGTCGATTGTAGAAAGTTATTTCATTCCTCAACAAACAGTTTAGACAATTCTAAGAGTAAACGTGACGATGATTCGCAACTATAGGTAGCTATTCATAGTTATTAATCTAGACATTGACTCCTACACAAGACTCCTAAATATTTTTTGTAGTTGATGTAATTACTTATTTCATAGCTCTCTTTCTGAGTTCAGCATTTTTTTCCTAGTCATGATACTGGCGTAATGTGCATTATTTTATTTTCAAATAATTTAAGGTTTCTTATGAAATTGTCCCATGAGACGGTAACCATTGAACTAAAAAACGGTACGCAGGTTCACGGAAGTATTGCTGGTGTTGATGTGTCAATGAATACACATATGAGGTCCGTTACTTTGACACTTAAAAATCGGGATGCGATTAATTTGGACACACTAACTGTTCGCGGAAACAATATCCGATATTTCATTCTCCCAGAAAGTCTTCCACTTGATACACTTTTAATTGATGAAGGTCCTCCGAAAAGAAAACCTGGACGGGAAGGTAATTCAGTAACTGTTTTAGTTCTATTTTAAACTTTATTAATTTCTTGGTTACTTGCAAACAGTGGATTTTCAGTGGTTTTATGGAGAGCGACAACTCGAAATATGGTAGAATAGATCGTAAAAAATAACTTTTGGATAACTTATAGGGGATGGAGAAAATCCGTAGTTCAGAATTATTTTAGCAATACTTTTTTCTTTGACTTGAATGATTCTCTTGTGAAAAAACCATGTCAACAATGACAGCAAAAACCAATCACATTCTATATCGATGGAACAAGCCGTCATCCACTTGTAAAGAAACTCTAATAGCTCACATTTGTGTGTCATGTCCTGATAATGTTGTCTGTAAAGACAATGAAAGCTTGAAAACTAAACCATCTTCAGAGGACATAACGCTCAAATTTTTCTATCATTCGTGATCTGAGAGGAGCATTTGTGTTTTATGACCTGAACCGCATCTTGCCGATAAATAATACCTGCTAAGCTTTTCTTTAATTCATAAGATAGTTTAAAAATCACAGCACTCACTTCATTTTGAAAGCTAGGTAGTATTTGAAACCATCAACGTATGTATCTCAAGTGTCTAAATGAACCTAAACTCCTACGTATATACACTTTATGTACAACTTCTTCCCACTTATAGTTTATACTATATGTATCTTTTCAGAACGCCCCACTATTCGTGGACGAGGTCGCGGTCTTGTTCGTGGCCGTGGACGCGGTGGACCTCGAGGACGTGGTCGTGGTCCTCCGATGCGTTACTAAAACCTTTCATATTATGTATATGTCTAATCATCGAGTACTATCCCCACAATTTTATTTCAACAATAAAAGTTTTGTATAAATGATTTATTTCTTGAATGAATGCTAAATAAGCTCGGGTTTTTAGTAGGAGGGGTATGTTTTATCCGTTCAAATTGCATTACTATACATTCTTAAAATTTGTTTCTGAACAACACTATATACAGTGGGTACTGTGTAGAAATTAGCGTATTTACCAAGTATCCTCTCTGTTCTGTAGTATGGCGCTTTAATCGATAACGACTTATGAAGTGCGTATATCTGAAAGAAATCAAGCAGTAATAATAAAATTATTGTTAAAAGACATTCTAATTATTTGATGAACTCAGTGAAATTTAAATGACTATTATGATAAACAGGACTTTTAGGCTATGAAGTTATAGCAGTCTTTCAACATTGTACATCCAATTCCTTAAGCTAAAACACCAGTTATCTTAGAATAAAATGATCTATCTATCTAGTCTGGATGAAAATTAGGGTTATCCTGTGTTTTGAAATGGAGTGATGTAATGAATTATTGTGTTGTGTATCTTTAGCCATTGGTTTGAACACGACTTTCAAGAGTTGGTCCGGTTTAAGCAACGAGTGTCTACCTTGCACCTATATAACTCATACCCGAGCTCGTTAGTATTAGCTTGTACTGTACTTGTACGTTACATCTAATGAAATCCATATAGCAAGTTTAGGACCAAATAGTCTGCGTTGCAAGTACTATTGAAGCATCTTGAGACAGGATTATGTTTTAAGAACGTGTGGTTTGCTACTACTAATGCTTCCGGAAGTGCTAGTGTTTCGTTTTGAAATGACAATTTATTACGAAATCCTGTGAGTTTATACTAACCTGTCGACTAATGAACATCATTCTCTTGGCAATTTGGAAGTTGAACCCTTGGTTACAGTGTTCATGAACTGAGTTAGTAAGCTTTTGCTTTTATTGTGTCCTTGAACGGCAGAGTGTGCCATTAGCGAACCACGGCGACTAGGCATGAAGTTTACGCTAATCACTTCCGCTGCTATTTTTGAGGGACGACGTCGCCCAGAGGTGAATATGTTCTTTCGATTGCGTTTGCACTTTTTACGCAATTCACCTTCATTACCGTTAATTGTATTTTGTTTGTATGGATCGTTTAGGTTATTGTAATCCTTCATAGATTCGTTTACATTTGAGTTATGGGTCGCTGTAAATAAGTCAGATATCACATTCGAGGCATCCTTCAAGGCGAATTCTGACTCACTGGAGTCGATATCCTCAAAATCATCAACTTCTGGCTGTCCTGTGATGTAAAAGTCTGGGTCCTGTTAAAAAGTTAAATAATGATAAAGATTATATTAGCTGGTGATTAGTCCTAGTATCCCTAAAACTGTTCAGAATTGTTTTATAAGCGAATCTCAATACTAATACACCATTAAGAAAAAAGGCAAGTGTCTCAAGCAATAAAGAATTATTCATCACAAACTCAGTACCTATTTTAGTAATCTTGTTTGGTATTCTGAACTTTGCGTTCGCGAAGTGTCTATACCTTGTTCATCCTCGAATTTAGGTCTTTCCGCTTCCTGATATTTAGGGTCGAATTAAGTGCGATGTACGGTTACTCATAAACTCTTGATATAGTTAGACTACCATAGAAAGTTCCACTTAGCAATCTTATTCACAGGCGTTGTCAAACTTGAAGATAAAGGAAATGTTTTAATTAGTTCATTGACTCACATATCCACAAGTTAGTACAAACTTCATTTTATTTGTATAGAATTTCATTCAGTACTATGGTATTGATTTGCTTTTAAATAAATTAGCCTCTGCAGGTTCGCATCCAAAGATAGGTAATCCTATAGACGATATCGTGTACTTTGTGTACTGCTTATGATTATTAATGGATTTAGTTATATGCTTCCTAGTAATGATAGTACCTATCAAACCTACAAGATATCGCTTACTGGGATTACGGTTATTCTAGTTTTCAACCTATATATCCAAAGTATAAAGCCGTATTACATACGAAGTAATTTCTCAGAAATCCTAGCGAAAATATCCATTTAAATCGTCTGCAAATAAACTTCCATTTGATTTATACCATCTAGCTTACTTCATCAAAGTCTCCAGTAGTCATTGAACGTTTAACTGTGGGATTTTGTTCCAGTTTAAATGGATTTACATTGAACTGACCGCTAAGGCAAGGATAGCCTGATGTGGTCTGTGCGGATTTTTGTGGTGATGAGTTTCCTGATCTTGATATTGAAGCACAGTTTAATTTGGACTCACAAGACATATCATGAAATTCATTGTTCAAATCACTTAGAGAAGAATCGATCCCTAGTTCACCTTGACTGCATCGTTGTTTCAACTGTCTAAGTAGGATACAGAATTCACTGCGTAATTTTGCCAATCTCAAGTTATTTGTTGTTGGAGACCCGACCATATTTTTAACGTTGGAAGATTCCTCCAGTTGTCTTTGAACCCATCGAAGTTGCTCTTGAAGCTATAAATATCAATATTTAACTCATAAGTAAAATGTGATGCGTTATGAAATTAACATGACATTTACTAACGAAATTCATATTCAGACAACCCAGTCACTGAATACCAGTTTATGTTGCACAGATTTAAAATTCCTTAGTTAATGTGAACGATGTTAACAATTAACCATTCGGAACTGTAAATGAAATAACATCAAATCAGTCTTGTTAGTACAAATCCAACTGCTCTTGGGTCCCTTATAAGGTTAATTCACTTTTTGTCATGTTAATCAGTTACATCCCAAATCGTTTAATTTTCAATTCAATACTCAGTGACCAGGTTATTATTCGTCAACAAATTTCAGTAGTATACAAATTTATTGCAACTGTTTGGTGACATTTTAGAGTTCTGTTTTTTTTATATGTTCTAAACAATCAACAAAAGGATATATTCGTGAGGTGCTCAGACAAAATCCTGTTTTTTCCTTATTAATGTTCTATGAAGAATCTTAAGCAACCGAATAAAAGACATCTCATATGGAATCAATGTTTATGCTTCATTGCTTTGTTAATATAGGTACATAAGCATAATCCACTCACCAACTTCAACCTAGGCTTTAACTAATTAACACACTACCACAGTAAAGATAGGGGAAATACTAATAATGGTTTCAGTATTTAGATACCTGTAGAAGAATTATATGCCTAAATTATAGTTAAAAGAACTATAGTAGTCTATGTAACAAGAGTAAATTATATGAGTTATGTGCAATCAAAGTATTCTATTCCTTTATAGTTTGTCTACAAAGTGACAATGAACAAATGAAAACTGTTTTAGGACAAGATAAACTAATTTTCTGTTGATTTCGTTAAAGTAAACAAGTAATAAACACATTCATATGACAAGAAAGATTAATCAATGTCTTACATATCGAATACAATACTGATTAGGCTGATAATATAAAAAGATTTTTTAAAGTATATTAATGAGTGGTTACCAGAAACGTAATGTGACTTTTCTGGATAAAAGTCCTATCCTTTACCATTTGCTTACTTACGTCTGTTACCCCTCATGGAGGAAGGTAGACAGTCTACCAGAATTCTCCACCCAACTCTGTCCTGGACAGTCCTTTCCAGTTGCTATTTATCGTTTTCATGTCTGAGTCAAGTTCTCGGCGCAGTGTGTTCTTTGGTACTCCTCTTTTCTATTTCCATTCAGGATTCCACGTTAGCACTTGCCTCGTGATGCTGTTTGATTATTCCTGTAATATATGTCCTGTTCACCCCCATCATTTTCGCTTAATTTTCTCTCCCACAGTAGGCTGTTGCTGATGATATGTGGCCAACGGACATTGAGTATTTTGCGTAGACAGTTGTTCATAAATACTCGTACTTTTTGATGACGGTTGTGGTATTTGACCGAGTTTCAGTTCTGTACAGTAGAACTGTCTTGATGTTCGTGTTGAAGATTCTAACTTCGATATTGGTTAATGGTTTCTCTGATTTCCATGTTCTGCAACTGTGGGAATCCCATACTTGCTTTGCCAATTCTTGGCCTTGTACATGTTGAAACTGACTGGTGTCATTTACTTTAAAATTATCACATGCGAGTTTCTGGAAATTAGCTTGAAGCATTTCTAGAATAACATTTATATTTTCCAATTTTTGATCCGTGAAATTTCAGCGGTAAATATTTCAGATAAAATTACACAGAATTCAAATGACTACTTTTGACAGTAGAAGTAGTGTGATTTATATTCGAAAGTAACACATCTGTGTGGTTAGCCAAATAATTACTTCAAATATCAAATGGATTTGAAAGTGAAATTACGAAATAAATAATACAAAAAAAAAAAATTTCGCCACTGAAAGAAAGCCGTTGGTGAATTATTGAAGATGACGAAGTCATGAAATCAATATTCTGCCTTAATTTGAGATAATTATGCGGTAAATAGAAAAGAAAATCGTGATTTACTGGCTGAAGTTATGAAGCCCATATCACATGTTCGTCGAATACATCTTATTAGGATATAAATCTCGATTTATATAAATATACAAATAAATCCGATAAACCACAACATACGCTGGATTTATAAATTCATGTTGTTTTTCATGGGTGGATGATATATATTATTGCTAATAAATATAACATGAGTAATCTTAGTTAACAGTAATTTAAGGTAATTAGAACAGGCACATTGACCAGCAAAACTCAATATTTATGTTTGGACCGTTGAAAAACCGATAGGAAGTTTTAGCTTTGCTCCAGAAGCCTGTTTGTTTAGAAAACCATTGCAAACGAGGAATTATTGAATAACCGTTTAGTCCGTGTATAGGACTTTCCAGTAGTGCGCGCTTATAAGCTATTGAATATACGAATACAGGGAATTCAGGACTTAAAGGCTTTACATCCTTTTGACCGATCTGTGGTGCTTCATGAATAACTATTCCTGAGGAATCATTTACTAGAACGAATAAAAAAATACAACACATTCGCTTATATTTAGAAACAATGCATTTATCAACATCAAATAATAAACTCACCTGTTCAATAGGTTGACCAGCTTGATAAGGTGGAATTGATTTCCTTCCATCTGATGAACACGACAGAGGCTGCGCTTTATTAATCTTACCATTAGATTGCGTAAACTGACAAACACTAGAATTATATGACATGTATTCTGAAGTTAATTGTTTACATGATGAAATGTCTTCCTTAGGAGAGTTTAGTTCATCCATCAGATTAGTAGGTGGATTATCAGTTGACATTTTAAATATTGAACAAGAAGAATTAGTAGTGGTAGTAAGGTTTGCTTTTTCATTTATCGATGATATTTCATTATGTAACACTAGACTTGGATTTAATGATGGACTCATACTGATTGCAGACAGTGCGGATACAGACGACTCAACATTTGAACTATGACGTAACCAACGACTTGTCATACTAGGTACATGACGTCCAGAAAGTAGTTGACACATTTTGTTAAGCTTTTAAAGAAATTGAAAAATATCACAAAATAATTATTACATAGATAAATAATGGTTTTATTAAATATTTTGTTCATTGTATCTAATGGTAAGTGAAATATTATATAAAGAGATGCAATCTGTAATTATTAATGTTGTGTTTAAAAACATTACACATAGACTATGCCATTTGAAGAAGACAATATGTGAGTAAAATAAACTATAATGAATAATAACACATGTATTCACTGCATAATTTACCAAATTTTTCATTACCACTCTCATATAATATACAGTTTGATTAAAAATAAAATAATGATTTTAGCAGAATAACATGGATTTAATTGTTTATCACGTCCTCTTTTTTAACTATCCGCAACATATAAAGAATAGTTTGAATTTAATTGAAGTTCAGTGGAGAATGATTTGAATTGCTGGTTATATCTGTCATAAAATGATTGCAGTTCAAGTGTCGTTGAAGAATAAACAATATTGAAGGCTTAACTATTAGAACCACTAGATCAGTGTTCAATGATAAAAGTCCAACTTCAATCAATTTGCGATATAATCCAATGATCAATCAATGCCATTAGTGATAATCACTGTTTCACACTCAACTTGTCTAAACTCTGAGGATCACGATTTTACACTAGAACTTCAGGAAAATCTTGGTGTAAGTCACTGTAGTAAGATCAATCTGTGACGAATAAGCCTAAATAATTAAATGAGCCTTTACTAAACATCTTCAACTATACTATGATATTGAGCTACACAGATTAACCAATACGATATAAAGAAATATTGAGATGAAAAAATGGGTTTAACTTGTGTAAGATGAATTTGAGAAATTCATATAGTAATACATCATAAAAGAATGACTAAATTACAGTAAAATTCTAACACCTTTCCCCACTAAAAAAGGAAATTCAAAAAACTTAATTGTGCAACCACGTGACTTTTGAGTGTATTTAATACATCAATACATTAAAATAACAATATATTTACAAGATGATTTGCCTGATAATGCAGGTAAATTTGTTGCGATGATTTAATTTACTGTGTCCTCTTCTTAGATAATTCTAACACACACACACACACATGAAGATGATCTATTACTTAGCAAAGTTTCTTAAACATTCCATCTAATTTTGACTGAATTCACGTTTAGATTTTGTTTAGATTTTCAAAAGTTTTACATTCTGTTAATTTTTCTTTAGAGAAATAATAATAATCATAATAATAGTGATAGAATAAACATGATCAAAGTTTCACGTAATATATTAGAAAACATTACGAACAGAAAATAATTCTCTCTGTTGGATATCAAATCAAATCAAATCATGTTAGAGGGTTAACTACACCGCTTACCTTAAATTTTGAAAGAGGAACTAAATAGCAAACACAAAATGAAAAAAAACAACAGCCTAAAGACGATGATTTTTTTTGAAAAAAAATTATTATTATTAAAATTAAATAATAAGAAAAGAGAAATTTTGAAATGTTTTAGGTCTTGTATATTTCATTTCATTTTATGTCCGCTTACACAAAAACAGTGCATATTTATGTGGTTGAATATTTTCTTGTTTGATCTTGGGTATAATAATAATAATTGTTATTATTATTACTATTATTATTATTATTATTATTATTATTATTATTAAAAAGGTAACAAGTGTAAAACAAAAAAGGGTCAATAAAATAAATAGTTTGTTCTATCTGTGCTATTAACAATTTAGTTAGTGAATATATATATATATATATATATAATGAAGGGCATTTAGAAAAATGACCTGTTTGTTTGAATACCGAATAAATTCTATAGTCTATTACTGCATAATAATAATTATTATTACTGGTATCAGCATAATAGGAAGCTGGAATTTACAAAACGAAAGCATATATATATATATATATGTATATTTACATTATCAAAATAAATACAGACAGTTAATAACAACGTAAAAAATTATGTAAATAAGTATAAAGTTTATTCAAAATTTGTTAGATTAAAGCAACATTTAGAAATTGTTCAAATAAAGTATGTATGTGCTATATATATTCTGAATTTATAAAAAAGTAGTTTCGTATACTTCAAAAGTTTGATTGAACTAACTACTGGTCTGTAAGTGTAAATAATTCGATTGAGAACACTTCAATTATTGTTTTCAATTAAATATGGAAGTAACTTTATACAAGACTGTTAACCTAATCGATTTGTGGAAATTAGTTACATTTGAAGACAATTATTAATATCAATTGACATCGGAACGCAAGGAATACCAGAAACCCATTTTATGGTACACGACTACATAACAGTATGCGAAAAATTGCTTCATATAGGATTCAAATCAACACCTTTAATTCTCATTCATGACGAGCATAATACACTCAAACTAGTGAGCCGAGAGTCAAAGATCATTTTTCACTTAAAATTAATTCATGAATATCAGCCATTGTCGACAATCGTGTGTAGTTGAACTCTAACAGAACCTTGAGAATCCATTTTAAAACTCATCACTGATGAGAGGAAAACCATTATTAGGTTACATTTAAATGCATTAAACTCGTTTATTAGATCTAATAGTATTTGTTCAATCCTGTGTGAAGTCATCAATACATACCACGAAGAAGTTTCACACCATAACAGAAAATTTTTCCTGATCTCAATGGTTTTCAGTGTGGCTCCTAAGAGCATATTAATAGGTAACAACCAAAGTTAACTTTATCTAAGTTAACATTAACTAAGTTTATATGATTTCATGAATAAATTAATTTGGATACAAGAAAAGAAGGCTAACTTTCCTTTTTCATTTCCACTCAACCAATATTCTATTTTTATTTTTATTTAAAAGAAACATAAGGAATAAATTATTTAAACTATTAAAAAAGAACACAACAACACAACAACTGATTATTTTTCTAACTAATTCTGTATCTCTCTCATTTGTTCATAAAATAACATGGAAAAAATATAATAAATCTGTTTGCTTTCAAGAAATAAATTCTATCATCTATATTTGTGTTATAGAACAAAAAATATATATATAGGTTAAAATCTCGCAGTTAATTGATAACAAAGAATTAAAACAATTAGTGAATATGTGATAACTCTCATCAAAAAAACAAAACAAGAACAAAACACCTAGTTATGCATAACCAGATGCATAGTTACATGGACGTTTATAACAGTATTGCATACGTATAAATATCTTCTTCTTTTTTTAAAATAAAAAAAAATCAAAACAGCTGTGTAAATACACCTGGTGTGTTAAGTGTTATTCTCCAATTGAAAAATACAAGTTTTTTTATAGAAACAAACAAACAAACAATTGAAAATATGTAGGATCACAAGATTGAAAGAAAAAAACCAACAACATAGAATATATAAACAAGAATAGTTTCTTAGTGGTAATAAAATTTAGTTTGCAAATCAAATACTACTAATAATATTACTACTATAACAATCCTCATACCCAGTTTTCAGTCTAGTTGATTTGTTATTTTTATATATAAATGCTCCTAATAAGTATATGTGTGATCAGACTGTTCGAAATGTATTGCGCTAATATGTCACATCATTCTGATAAACTTTGTCTTCTAATTACATTATCGAAATATATCAATTGTATTTATTTTGATGCTCTCTTCCCTGTATTTAATATGATCATGTCATTCACACTATTTATAAATATGTATATATGTAAATAACTTTTTATTTTTAGTATAAACTCATGAATAAATATAAATTTATTAATGGAAGTATTTATTTGTATTTATATCATTGATGTGATTTATCTCTTCTTTTCATATACTGTTCTCTAATGTTGACTATTATTATTTCGATATACTTGTTATTTATCTTGTAAGTTTCATCGCACCAATTTTGAGACTTGAGCTGATGCATACTTTCTTTTTTTTTCTTTTCATCATCTTAGAGTTTATGTAGATGATGACCGATACAAATTATGTTTCAATGATGACATTATTTATGTATTTGTATAGAATATTGAATGAAGTTGGTAATATTATTATAGACATTACAAGTAAATATCAATTTATATCAGATGGATTTTGCGGATATCATAATGATTTCAATGGTTAAGATCATGAGCCAGTTGAAGCTAGACCACCATGGAAAACCTGGGAGCATTGAACGGCCGTTTCGTCCTATTGTGGGACTCCTCAGCTGTGGTTAACTGCTCGCGCGCGAAACCGGTAGGTTCTGGTTTCGAATCTCGCGGTGTGCAGGATCGTGGATGCGCACTGCTGAGGAGTCCCACAATAGGACGAAACGGCCTACCAGTGCTTCCAGAATTTCCATGGTGGTCTAGCTTCAACTAACTCATGATCTTAACCATTGAAATATCAATTTAAACAATAAAATTAATCCATTTATAAATTGGAATTTATTCAAAATTATAGTACTATTAATTTTGATAATAGAGTTCATCTACCTAATTTTAGTAAATTGAAAATAGTTTAGAATTTTTGTAATTTTATAAAAAAATTGCTTATTTAATTAAGATAATATTAATGTAGAAAGATGTAAGAAATAAAACCAAACAAATTGTTAGTTGATACAAACAAGTCATATTATAATAAACATGTTTATAATTGAATCATTTGAATAATTATGAATGAATATATATGAAATTCATGAGATTGAAGGTGAACCTACAAAATAAAATCTATGATAATTGAAATGACTTATTATGTACATACAGTTTTATGTTGAAATTAACAAAATGATACTTTTCATTTGAAATAAAAGACTTTAAAATATTATGTAATATTATCTTATTAAAAGGTTTAGTTTGATGTTAAAAAACATCAATCGTTTACCAAATACAAATCTTTATATAAACATCATTTGAATTACACTAATAATCTTATATGAAGGTTAATATTGTTTATAAATCAATTGTTTAAACTGAATTATAGAGTAAAATTTAAAACACATGTTGTCGATTAATTGATATTTATGCGTACGTTTTAAATATTTTAACAATCGTTATTTTCCTTGAACAATCAGAAAAATAATTAATTTCAGTGAATGAAATATTTTTTCCAATCTTTACAAAATTTAAAACAGTTTTTTGTACTCATATAAGTGAACAGAATGAAGTTGAAACATAGAACACTAAATATATATACTATTGATTTATGTTCTTTTGTGTCGTAATTTACCTCAACTTTTTTTTCTAACTGAAGAGAATAGTTAATCACAATGTGATAAGATAACAAAGTATAAATTTCATGAATTAGGATGTTGTTCAAATCAGATAAAAAATAAAATAGGAAGAGATAAATTGGTGAGACTATAGTTTACGGACGACCTTTGAGCGACGCTAAAGTGACCTTTAGAATGTCCACATACTAACTAGGACCAAATGAGGGTTATAAATCAGTGTGAAGAACTACAATTAGGATTTACTCTTAATGGTTAACGGGTTAAGAATTAGATTCATGGTTTTCATCACGAACTAACATCAGCTAAAATGTTAAACTCTTTTTAACCAAATGGATGGATGAATGAATTTCGCGCCAAAATCCAAGACCTTTTGTCTTATATCTGATTGGTTAGTTCATAAATTATAGTCTTAACGATGAATTAAATTGCATGGATTTAAAAAAAAAACTATTCATAATAAATTTGGCTTGTTTTTTCTTTATTGTAAATTCTTTAATAAAATAAAAACAGAAGTCAATTATCTATATACTAAGATAGTTGTAAATAAATATATCCACAAAATTTAATTGTAAATTCTTAGTTCTATTAAATTTATTTAAATGAATAATAGAATATTAAAAAATAAAGACAAGTTAGTATTATCTACCATAAATATAATGTTATGTAAGCTATTCTTTAAAATAATCTAAGATTATAAACAGTTTAGCATATCACAATTGATTGATCACCGGGCGGCGATCAATGCCATGCGTGTCTAATCTTTATTAGTGCAGATCGAATGCTATCGACCATGTTGCAATGTGGCCACCAGTCTAGGTGACTCAACACTGCGGGCACTATATATTGATATTAGATGGTGGTTGGAGGTAGTCGACAGTGTCGAGTCACCTAGACTGGTGGCTACATTGCAACATGATCGATAGCATTCGATCTGCACTAATAAGGACTAGACACGCATGACATTGATCGCCACCCAGTGATCAATCAATTGTGATTACATCTCAGTCCTACAGGAGGTCAGTCACGGCTCCGATAGCTCAGTGGTAACGTCTCTGACTGTGAAGCTGGGTGAAACGAGATCGAATCCGCCAGGAAGCACCAGTTCCTTCAAGATTACAGGTACACCTTGTTAACAAGTGCCAAGTAGCACGAAACCCGGGTCCATGGTTTCCTGTCGACTACCTCCAACCACCATCTAGTTTAGCATATATATATATTTCATAATTCTTCCATTAAGTCTTTAAAACGCTAATAAACAAACAGCTTGAATGTTCAATAGATACATATTATTAGTGAATTTCCTAATTTATGATTAATTACATCATACACCAGTTTTTTTCTTTTTGAAAAAAGTGGATATAAATAGTAAATGAACGAAAATTTATTTCTTTTTTTGCTTGTATTTCAACACATGCTTATATATATACTTTGATAGTTCCAATGGTTAATGTTTAAGTCTATTTTTAATGAACGAATATCTATAATATGTATAAATGAATTTACAAATTCTGACACTTTATAACATAGCAAAACCAACAAATATGTATAATCATGCGAAAATGTTAATAAAAAACAACAATATTTGAAAATATGTACATTTATACATGTCAATTTATTGACGCTTACATATACTACTTATTGTTTTTTTTTAGTTTAATAATTGAATTGAAGGAATTCTATGACATATAAAGTCAGTTGCTTTCACAATTCATTAGAGGTTTACATAAAACATTATTTATGTCATGCATATAATATCTAAATAATATTACATAAAGTATGTCATGATTACAATTTCTAAAAATATAATAAAAGGAAAGTTAATTAAAACTGATATGACAATTTCATTAAAATTTTATACTTATTTCTGGACAAGATTAGATTATTTATATTCTAAATATACATACGGCTTATAATTAAAATTCAGGCTTTACTGCTTGTGTGGGTATTACAGAATGAAGAAATTTACTCTATTATACTAATCAAGTATCTCTACGTTTGTGACACTAATGACAAGTCGAAATAATATACAAATATAATAAAAACCGAACGTTTTAAAATAATAATCCTACGAAATAAGCAGTATGAAAATCAAGGAAAACTGTTGAATTTTATTGATATTATGAATTTAACTATGTTGAACAAATATTGAAAACTTGAAAGAACTGAACGGCCGTTTGGTGCTAGTATTGGACTTCTCAGCAGTATATATCTATGACTTCATTATTGAAAAACAAACTGAGGACCTTTGTTATCCCAATCTTGCAGATTAATTAAAGTTAAACTTCCACACCATTGGATCATGCCTCAGGGATCTAAAGGCTAAATATCCGCTCGCGAAACCCGGAGGCTAATGGGATGGTCGTGGATGCTAGTACTTGGGCAAAACAACTGTTCAGTGCTTACAGCTTTTCAATTGTTTTCTAACTTGGATCAGTTCGTGATCTCAATAAGACTTCACGAAATGTCCTACTATATATGTATCTATCTTGGAAAACCTTTAGAAAAACATATTCAACGGAAAAAGAGTGAAGAATTATTTTCGAAAGTAAAACAAATAAATTCAAACGATCAACACAAAAGCCAACCAGATATGTTCATGTTGATAAAAATAGAAGTACTTATTGAAGAAAGTAGGCAATGAACAAACTATCTGAGTTACACCATACATATACCTGGTTTACTTCAATAATATTCTAATACCTGTTTTTCCAGCACATGACATTCATTTTATAACGAAACAGATTTAAAAACAAAAATCGTGTAAGAGTAAATCGTTTTCAAACTTTATCAACGACATTTAACACAATCCGAAGTGAAGAATTATAGGTTATTTTCTGGTCTTTGTTTTTCCAGCCAATAGTGTTTTGTTACGTTAACTGTTAAGTACCTCAATATTTAAAGACATGTTTCTATACAATGACCTAAAGCCCACAAAAATAAGCATTCAGATGTTGTTGTTCTGTATTCCGAAATTAGTTCAGTACGGATTTCCAGAGTTAGTCTCATGGAGATACTTGAATTCAGAATGTTAGCTTAAATGCAGTGAATAGATGAAATGTCAGCTTTGAGTTGGATAACTAGTTAATTTCCTAAAATTAGGTTTTAGAAACAGGATTTTGGAATGTTCAATGAACGACCCAAAAACTAATCGAAACATGACATTCAATGAACATTCAAATGATATCTTCTCACGAAACTGAATAATTGATGTAAGCGCATGATTGATCTGATATTAGAAGGTAAGACAGATCCTCAGCTGAATAGGATTATCTTCATATAGCAAAATCTTAAGTAAAAGAGCGAGTAAGATTAGAAATTACTTTAAAAACCGAACAATCAGGAGAATATGGAAATCATAGTTCATTCACCCTTCAATTGAATCAATGGCTATTACGAATAATTTTTGCTGTCCCATCATATCAGTTATACTACATTATGTTAAAAATTGCATTTTAAATTCATGCTAATAAAAAAAGTTCACATTCACTATACAATTTCAAATGTGAAGAAGGGAACAAATAAAAAACCTGCGTTTCTTCATTTAATTGAAAAACTATCGATAGATGTACAGTAGTTTGCATTTACAAGTTTCAATTAATTCACGATACATAATGACAATTATTGAATATCATTGTTACATTCTGAATTCAGTTGACTACACCGAGGGTAATACCTTCTCATGAAAAGTGACCGACATCTATCTTGAAGAAACCAGTAAGTAATGTATTACTGTTTGGTCAGGCTATAATGGAGTTTTATTGTTGTCGATAATCAAATCTTTTTTTAACTTCCAAAAATAGATTCACTTTGTATCCTTAAGGAAATACAGAAAATACATACTCCGCATAAATAGAAATTGTAAAAAGAGAATGTTTTAATTGAAGTGAAAAAAAATTGTACGAAATATTTTCTCCAATGAGATAAATTTGTAGAATAATTTAATCAGAATGCAACTATTTTTTATTGTAATAATACATAAATAAAAGTAATATTATCCATTAACTTGAAAGTAATTACCTGTGATTTAATACCTGATATAATTAAATCCAAATTTGGATGAATAGATTGTTTTGAACTTGCAGAAAATGTCAAAGATAATTGTCCGGCATATGTTGTAAACGTGACACATAAATCACGACAAATATGTACAATGGTTTCATTGGAAGCAGAGTTATTAATTCCATTATTTAATTCAGGTGAGTGATTGTTTGCAATAAATTCTGATGGTATATTCACTGGTGACGGCATCCAAGTATCAATACGAATAATAGGACAGCCAGCTATATACATAATTCCAGCATTAGCATTCACTAAATGACGAGCTAATGCACGGAAACTTGTTCCTAAACGAGGTGGATAAACTGATGATGTTGCTGTTGTTGTTCTTCGTGGAAGACGTCTTCTCAATCTTTGACGTAGTATACGAGCATCCGAAGATTTATTAGCTAATAAAGACATATATGCTAGTCGTCTTGATTTAGGCATTTGATAGGAGTAATTGGAATCTGTAATTTTCGACAAATTTGAAGAAGTTGTATTAGTGGCAGTTGTTGAAGTAGTAAATGGTGATATTACTTCAACACCAGTTATAGTTACACTGGCTTTCGCTGGTCCACCATATGTTGTTTCAATCCATTTTGCCACAGAATGTGGCATTAAAGTATACAATGCTGTACGTGCCCATGCTAAACATAAGGAATCGACTGAAGTATTCACTTCAGTTAGACGTTGTTTTGTCTCCCATAATCTAGGTAACATACCTTCTGTATTAATTGGTAAACAAAATTCAGTTAATACATTTCTACCTGGGCATAAACTTCGTGTTGCATTTATGGAGGTGGTATTCGATGAACCTAAAGCTACCATTCGATTTGTATTTCCTAGTAAGCCAGTTTCCACTGTATTATTATCATGATGTATTCGTTGTTGTTGACGACACGGAGAAATATTCAGAAAATCAAGATTACTACTTGTTCTAACTCTTTGAGTTATATTTAGAACACGTGATAAAGTTGTACATGGTGGATCTTCAATATTGTTACAATTGGAAACAGATACTGATGAAGTATTCAAATGACAATTTGGTAAAACAGGTACTTCAGTTGATAAAAATGCTAACAAATCAGGAGGATGTTTAAATCCCATCGTCTTGAAAAATATGAAAAAAATTGCACAATATAATTATTATAATTTATATAAAGTAATAAATCATTTAAACAGATAGCCTTCTAGACTTTTTACAACATACAAAGAATCAATATAGACGAATTCCCATATTACAGAAAAAACAGAATTCTGTTGATATTTGAGTTAGTCAAAAGCTCTTCAGATAAATTTGAAACAGCTGACAAAATATTGCTGATTTTTATTTTATTGAGTTAATCAATTAAAGGATTGTGGTAAACCTTCTTATGAGAATGATCAATTGATGATTAAAACTTAGATTAACTAGTTAAAGGTTCGTAAGTAAACATCGATCAGCCTATTGGATAATTTATCTTTACCCAAACGAACATTGATACTGATACTGCCATTTCGACTTCAAAAATTTGAGAAAGGATGAAGCAGTAAAATCGCAGCTATCTAATGGTATAATACAGTCATCATTACTTGTTAAACCTTTGGTTGTCTCAACTAAGAAAATTATTTGCATTTCATTAAAACGTGACTAAATATAGAGAGTGATTATTGAAAAGGATGAAATAATAAGGCTAACTAAAATATTTTATCGAAAAAAGAAAGTCATTTGAGACTTACATATCATCCTATAAAAAGAGAATATAACTAGAGCATGCAAGTTTCAGAATATCGCAATAGTGCATCAAGAATTTCGTGTAATAATTTCTTGTGTTTGATGGAATGCATTTAAAGTTAATGTAAACTTAATACAGTGTTGGCTTTCAGTTAACAGATAATGAACAGTGACAGTGTGGTGTGTGCTACTTATATCGACATAAGTAGTATATGACGTTGCTCGTGAACAGAAGGTCTGGCAGGAGAGAGACAAGAGGATCGAACAGTAAAGAATGGTAACAGAATGCAATTTGTATGAAAATGCAAGAACAATGAAGTCTGAGTCATTATGAAACAATTGATGAACATTTTGCAAATTACGTATTTACTATTTGATTATTGGATTTTATTAACAAGTCCTGTAATTTTGTGTCAAATACATTCGATTGTTCCTCACTGGTGTTCTTGTTCATTGCAACAGTATAAGAATTATTAGGATGTCAAACTCGTTTACCATTCTAGGTTTTCAATAGTGGCCCAACATCAATCAGTTCATGATCTCAATCAAAAACTTAAAAATCTCCATAACCCTATAGTGATAATCATTTACCATAGTCAAAAAGGTTTATAAAGACTGAAATCCAAAACGCTCTACTTCACCAACACAAAATACATTAATTTAACAGATCTAACGATTATTTGTTCTAAGCAAGTTTAGTATATCTGAGTACCAACGAAACCTCTGAATAGATAGAAGAAAACAATTTAAGTTATATGAGCTAACCTCAGCGGAGATACTTGTATTTAAATCGACCAATATGTTATTTATTTAATCTGAAGGAGTGACTTACATTAAGTTACGAAACGCGGGAAATACAATTATTCTACTCGTCAGGATAAAACAAAGATATATTCATAATGAATTAAATTTATTTTATTTTAACAATGTGTCAAGTGGAACAATTAAGTCAATAAATACAAAATAAAAAAATATAACGTTTGAACTAGAATAGGTAAATGACATTCTATGACTATAGTATACAACAACAAGTGGTCAGTAGACATTAAAATTAATGTTTTCAGTTGACTTGACTAAGATCAAATTAAAATATACTCAATAATATCTCATTTATTCATGGAATCATATTATACTAAACGTACTTGTTTAAGTATATATATATATACACATTCGATCTGCAATTTGAGTCTAATAATTGCTTATTCGTGTTCATTGTCTGTATATGAGTAGTAATTTGTTACCTTATCAACTGAATTAATGTTTATTTCAAACTATGTACAGGTTATTATTATATTACATATAAAGAAATATATTGATTGAATAAACTATTTGAAACAGACTAAACTGTTAACTATTGATCACTGAAAAATAATTACACAATCTCCTTGTTTTTTTTTTCACAAAAACGTTAACCACATAATTTGACAAGAATCCGTGTATTTTACATGCAGTTTATTTTAAATACAAAGCGTTTGTTTGACATAGTTTTTTTTAAAAGAAAAAATCTAGATATAAAAGGATAAAAATATGGATTTATTTTTAAATACTAAAATGATATTGATGTTACAGATGAATATGCATTGTGAAATATTTTAAAAGAACTCTTATTCATCATAAATCAATAAATCGCTATTGATAATGGGATAAGTTAAATTAGAAACTATGAGTATCGGGTAATATTATGTTAATTATTGTTGGATAGATATCTATCAAAATAATGATTATTTCTAATCAAATTTTTAAAAACACCAAGTGTTTGTTACTTGTATCATTTATCTATTTATTGTTAATTGTGATATAGTTCTTTTTTTCATATTTTGAATAAAGATTTGTAAGTGTACTTATATGTAGTAGGTAACTATAGATAAGTTTCTGTTAAAAATTAATTCTTTAATTATTAGCAAGAAAGCTAAGGAATAAGAAAGTAAATCCTTTTCATGAAAGTAAACTCTAGGAAAATTGTACCAAATTATCAACGTATTTTCAGAAATCACACTAAATATAGTATTGTTAGTAATAAATTTTAGCAATAATCGACAGTATTGTTGTGTCTAAAAGAAATTTAATTATAGGCAACTTCTGGGAACTATATATATATATATATATATATATATATATATATATATATATATATATATATATATATATATATATATATATATATATATAATTACAGGCTTTCATTTGACCTATTGGCTATTATTATACAATCTACTGCTGTTAAGTTATTCCCGATCACAGCCATTTTTGGCTTAATCTTGTATAACTTCTATTTATCATTGTATGGTGCTTGTGTATAAACCAGGTATGTCTGAAATATTTTGATGGAGTTTTGTTCTCTGAGCTGGAAGGTTTGGTCATGGAGCTTTCATCGTTCTTCCGAACGAAATCATCAGCACAAACTTCAGATAGAAGCGAAGTGTTCGAACACCAAACCATCCAGCTCAGAGAACAAAACTCCATCGAAATCATCTACCTGAGCTACAAACTTCTCTTCCATGTCTGAAATATACAATTCATATAGGCGAAGCTGGTATTGTGTTCTGGATTCAAAAGGACAGGACTAGGTAACAAGAACCATTAAGGACTTGGAGTTGACTCCAGGCTGCTCGTGCTGATTAACGCATCATTGGTTTGGCACAGGACCAGGGTCATGCAAATCAGTGTTCTGAGTGAAGATCTTGTCACGTGATATTTTGACAGGGCTAGGGACATAGCAAGTATAATGAAAAGGAAAAATCCACAAATGACAAAAATTTGATAAAATAAACAACATAATCATCTCACCTGATGATAACCACGTAATGCTCCAGCTAATAAACTTAAAATTAACTCTGAATAAGATGCTTTAGTAATTTGACGTAGACGACTTAATTTTGCTAATGATAATAAGGCACATTTGTGAACAGTTTTGATATCTTCGTTGAGATTACTATTATTACTTTGATTGTTTTTATTATTTATTAATTTAGATTGTTTAACATTTTGATGTTTTGTAATTAAACCCATATCAGCATTAGTAATAAAATATTTATGAAAAATGATAGTTGGTCCAGTAATCAATACTCTTAATATATCACAAACAGTAGCTATTGTAGCCAATGAACTTGCCCAAAATGTATACCACCATTGTGCAGCTTCTGATTCCTCTGAATCTTCATCGTCTAACAATGAATCTGCGGTAGATGTGCTAGTCGTTGTTGTTGTTGTTGTGATGGAAGAATTTGATGATGCACTATTAGATAATCGTTCATTCTGATTAGGTTTTGATTGTATTTGATTTGAATTGAATTTCGTAAATGTATTCAATTGATATTTATTATTAATTGATATATTTAAGTTATTTAATTGAGATTGTTGTTCATTTATTAGTGTAGTCTTAGATAAGTCACATGAATGGTAAAATGAGGTTGAGTTATATGGTGAAGTAGAATTACGAGATGATTTCATTGTAGTAGACCATTTGGACGCATTTTTATTGGATAGAGATGCATCTAACGAATTATTTTTGAAAAAATAAAAACAAAAGTAAAATAATATAATTTGAAAATGTATTTCATTGTTAATAATGCACATTTCTCATTTTAGCTTTAACAATGTATGACAGATCAAACGAATGATCACTGCTGTATGGTTAATATAAATGTATTAAGTAATTTTAACCTCGCTGATTATGTGCTTTGAATAATGAACACTTTGGTTGCAGCAGAACGAGCCACAAATCGAGTTAGCTGAATAGATATATCAGTAACAAAGACGTAACTGACATTCTTCTTGAGATTCAAATCAATGTCATTAATATTCGAGTCAAAAATGTTGGCACTAATCCGTTAAAGCATCAATTAACTTTTGGTAGGATTGAAGTGTTTAAAATTATTAACCGCTAAGTAGTAATCTGCATCATAAATACTTCTTATTACTAACTAAATCTTTATCAGTCAATTGTACATATATAATAAATTAGAACAAATATGAATTTCGCAGTTAAATACACAAGGCAGATCGTTTATTTACTTCTTACGGCATATTACTGACCTAAATAATCATTTATTTTAATAATATGAAGTTTTTTGGTAACGCTGAGTTATCTCAGCTGGGTAGTTATTATTATGGTTTTGTTGTCGTTATAGAAAACACCAACAACTTCTGCGTAATAGGTTTTCGTTTACACAAGGACACAGAAGATAATGAAACCTGTGGAAATAGACATCCTCCAACAAAGTCGGAAGAACAAACTGACCTAATGCATGTAGGATAAAAATGACGCTAAATTCTCAGTGAAGTAGGTGTTGTGTTTCCTAGATCGACAACGAAAGCTACACAGTTAAACCATTTAGCTTATAGAACGCAATACTATCAAAGATATTACACTGCATAACATATGTTTCTATTATTTTGACTGTAAGTGCATCGGTAATTTAATGACTTATTCATAAGAGAATTTGTAACATAGACAGAAATGAACAAGTAATATGCACTGTATACATATTTTAAGTATTAACTAAGTTTTACTTAATATTAAAAAGTTATAATCTATTGGGAAAAGTGAGAGCTATTAATGATTTAAGAAATTTTATCCACTTATTTACAGAAGTAACTAAGGCAAAATATTTATATTTTTAGATAAAAGAATAAACTATAAGTTGAACTATCATTTTTCTTCAAACAAGTAAACAATAATGTAAATTGCAAGTAGAAATGAAATAACTACATAAAATCCAAAGGTAATTATTTTCAAAATTTGCTTTTTAATTAAAATTATCACCTGATAACAGTATAAAGAAACTTATGAAAATAAAAAAAGAATTTTAGGGTTTTATTGACTCGTTCATAGTTTTTATCACTCAATTATAAGCAACATTAAAGTTAATACATATATAATCGTCAGTTTAATTTGCCAAATCCTATCAACACAAAAAGATGGAATTATCAAGACAAATTCCAAAATAGTGAAATTATTAACCACATCAGCGGTAGGAGAAAATACTATTCATGGACAATATGATTCGAGAAGAAAATATTTGTGAACCAGTGAAAAATGATGTAACTTTAAAATTCACGACCTAAGAAAAGCCAAAATGTGGATAGATCTGTGCCATTTTTGTTGATTCTCAGACATATTAACTATAGTCTACAATGATTATATAGACCCTGATTGTAAGTCAGTACTCATCTAAATTGGCCAACTCAACGATTGATGCCACATGATGGATTAGCCGTCTTTAGCTTTTTTCTAACCTACTCCTACACCAACAAGCACTACGCATCGAGGTACATAATGGTTGGGTATATGTAATACATATCTTAAACATCTCAAATGATCAATATTTACTACCTTATCTGTTCTGTATGTCATAAGTGTTGTCGGTGAACAATAGAAAACATAAGCAAATCGATTACAAATGGAAATGTTACTAGAATATAAAATAACTGATCACTAAGTAAATAGTTTAATAATCGTAAAATCTAAACTTTAAGATTGGATTTAATGAAAACTATGTATCAAATTAATTTCATGCGACCCATCTTGAAACGTATGAGCAAGAAAATGCTAAAAATATATGATAGTCTTGAATAAACCGATTAACAAGTTCAATCAGACACTATAAAGATATCATAGGAATAATATGAAACACTTTGGAAATGAATAAATTCATTCTCGCATAGATGGTAACTCATTTTAGTAGTTTGATAACCATTACACTTGCATTAACAAAATTTGGACCACCAATTTTAGTCGTATTCCACAGGCTACTTCAATTAACTACTTAGTTTTTCTCTTATAATTTTATAGCTGTTTTGTTTAGTATGCAAACAAGTAAATGTGTATCTTCTATTAAGATATAATTCAAACACAATACATATTAAATGAAATTTAACTGTTAATCAACGTTCAACAGTATTGTAGTTAATAAAATATTTAGTTACATTTCATCTAAAAATATCCTATACATTTTAATCAGTACAAATCATTAGTCAAATAACAAAGCTTTTAAAGAAGAACAATTCGATAAATAAACCAGTCTCGACACTTGAAATTCTGAAAAACCAAATTCAAATGAAACAGTACAACCGGATAAAAAAAATTGAACACTTAAAATTAATAGATAACTTGTAAATCCAACACCTCTATAGGCAATAACTTACATCAATCACAAAAAACTAGCGCTAAAAAAAAGTAAAAGAGAAAAACAAAACCCAATAAAGATGATAATATATAAAAGAGAAAGTTTTTTTTTCTTCTCCAAAAAGATGTAATCATATATAGTGATAGAAATCATAACAACATGTCCATTGTTAACATGATTAGTTCATAATGATAAATTGTATTATAAAATGAAATTTTAGCGTAGATAATCAGTTCAACTTTCAAATTCTTTTTAAATAGATAATATACAATGAATTATAAAGAAGTCAATAGAATATATGAAACATTAAAATGAATTACTGAAAACAAAGAATATTATTTATTTCACAGATAGAAATCATGAGTCAGTTGAAGCTAGACCACCATTGAAAACCTGGAAGCACTGGACGGCCGTTTCGTCCGAGTATGGGACTCCTCAGCAGTGCGCATCCACGACCCCGCACCACCCGGGACTCGAACCCAGGACCTACTGGCTTCGCGCGAGAGCACTTAACCATTAGACCACTGAGCCGGCATCCAACGGTGTTAATGTCTAACTTCAACCAATCCACGAAGTTGCGCTACCATATACCATTGTCCTCAGTGAGTTACTATCTCACAACAGACCTGGTTGAACTCCACTGGTAACGACTTCTCACTAGAACTCCAGAAGTATCTCCTGAAGTCAGTCACTAGTGAGCAGGTGATTATTATTATCAGAATGGGTTTTGTGGAGATTTTAGAAATTTCACAGATTGAAATCATGAGTCAATTGAAGCTAGGCCACCATGGAAACGTGGAAGTACTGGACGGATCGTGGATGCGCACTGCTTCCAGGTTTTCCGCTGTGGTCTAGTTTCAATTGACTCATGATTTCAATCTGTAAAATAAGTAATAGTAAAATATCAAATCCATAGCAATGCATATTACTTAAGATGTTAAATCATACAACACCACCAGCTTATAGCAGCATTTACAGATTTATATAATTATTTTTTTCAGAATAATGAACGTTTCATGTAATTTTGGCTTGATCACTACTAACTTTTGATCATTCATTTCTTAAATCACATTTATTAAAATCCAGTAGCCATTTATGCATACACTAGAGACTATAATTATTCACATTATCATTCGCTATTTATTGAAGAAGTTATACATATGTTTATATTATTTAAAATGGACAGAAATAATATCAAGTTATGATTAACTTTTAAAATCGTATAAAAACTACAAAAAAATCTATCTTATTATGATTGTCAAACAAGCATAATGGCGTTAAACAGCACTTTATCCATGTATACATGAAGGAATAAATATTACTGCTTTCATCAAAAAACGAATCATAGCACTTAAAATTTCATTCATATATAAAAAATTCTTATTTTTTGCTTTGATACATTATGAAGTGTTTTAAAATTTTTACCTGCTTTTTTGCCACTTATCGGTCTTCTTTTTTTACAATGCTTTTTACTACATTATTTGCATTTAAATAGAAACAAGATGACACATGGATGTGATTATTACCTTATTATCGTATACATACGTATACATGCAAAGATATTTAGCGATAATAAAGCAGCCGATAATGAAGAAGGCTGATATGATAATGATGATGACGACAACGATGATAACAACAGTAATAACTGAACACAATTATACAATTGTAAATGCAAAATATACATACAGGTGGATATATAAATGCTCTGTATCAATTAAAAGATCACCTGTTATTTGTCTGTTTGTAAGTCAATTTTTCCTTTAAAAATTTTAGGTCAACGAAAGCAGTTTCTCTATTTCTGAAAAAACACGAAGAGGAGTAAGGGAAAGAGGTAAGAGAGAATAAACTAACACATAGCTTTTAGATCAATTTTATTATATTCTAATTTTGTGTATTCTATTTAATGAATTATTTATGAAAGAATAATAATAAAGTAATTAAAAACAAACGATTATATTTTAAAGAGGAATTTCTACTTTTGCATACTCGATGTTTGAAATTAATGATAAATGCAAAAACTGAATTACTTTTATTATAAGCAATAAACATTTATAACATTTATGCAAAATATATAAACTTTAACTAGCAGTGAAAAATATATTTCGTCTTATTTGGGATCGGTCACCTGAATATATTTCCATTCCATTGTCGGTCCTCACGTCAACGGTAGAAATCAGCATTTTTAACTTTAAACGCCTATCACATTATCCATTGGGCTACTAAATTCAGACAGTCATTAGCTTGCCTAAAAAGTATTTTTTTTAACTTTTTATTTCATTAACTACACAGTAATCATCAACATTTAAATAACAATTTTGATTTAAGATTTAAAGAATAACATGAGACTAATGATTTTTATGATTATT